TGTCGTTCCATGCAAATGCAAGTTCTTTTATTAACATTGAAACAGATCGGGATTCCTTACACCTTAAAATTCTAAACTAGCCTCTCGAGCGAGCAGCAACAACAACAACAACTAAGCCCAAACCCTAAACTAGTTAGAGTCTACTACATGGATCCTTCCGTACCATTCCACATGACTATAATTCTCATCGAGCCTCATAAGCAACTTTACATATTTGATCTATTCTCTTAAGAATTTAATTGTTAATTTGTCATACTCCTATTTTTTATCTCTTCCTTGATGGAAGCATAAAACTCTGTAACATAATAACTTTATGATGTAATTGCTTGAAGTCTAATTGAGTTTTATGGATATGACTTACAACTTATCATTAAGGTTTGGTTTGAATGCATAACTATCCTTAATTTTGTTTTGTGAGTCCATACTTTATTGAAATACAATAGGGTAATTGTCTCGTCTAATAATTTGTATGTTGTTTGATATGTGGTGCTTTGATAAGAAAAATGCTTGTGTTATACCCGAATATATTGTTGAAGGGACCTTAGCTAAGACAATAATTAATGAACCAATGGAGGTTCAGCTCATGAATGCGCTCACTGCATAATTGAACATGCAAGTACATTACATCTCGTCCTCTACCCGGGCAGATTATGCTCGGACAAGTACATTTTTAAAAAGCTCAATTTTTTTTTATAGCAAAAAGTTCGATTAAACCGAATTATTTCAAAATCGAATTGAAATAATTCGGTTTCAAATCGAATTAATCGTACTAATTTTGGTTCGATTTTGGTTTTCATTTTTCCTAATTATGTTAACACAAAACGAATCGAATTAAGGTTAACCGAACCGTTTAACCGAATGACCACCCTTACTTTTGAGTTAGCACTATCATGTAGCCTTGTGCTATAGACTTTGAATATTATTTTCATTTCTTATTTAGAATGAGATATTTTTCATTTTATTTAAAAATAATGGTTGTTCTTTTAAAGTGAATTGTTATATGAAAATATTTTGATTAATAATAGTTTATATATTTTAAAAATAGTGCAACTCCTATCGAATAACATAAATGCTAAAAGAATCAAATTAAATGATCTAAATAAATATATTTATAACATTGTCGACTTGGCCATATAAATGAGAATTATATATCCAAACTACTTATAAATGGATACCTAAAATCATTTGAATCGATCTATGAATCTTGTTTACTTAATAAAATAGCTAGAATCCCCTTTCAATGAAAAAGAATAAATAACTACTGGTTTAATTAGGCCTTATACATAGTTATGTATATGGGTCCATGTTCACCTTGACAAGAGAGGACATGATTATTTCATAACCTTTACTCGATGGTAGATCATGTTTTTGTTATGTGTATTAAATGAAGCATAAATCTAAAGCATTTGAATAGTTTAAAGAATTTAGACTTAAAGTCAAGAAAAGAACCGGCAAAAGAATTAAGACATTCGATCAAATCAAGGTGATGAATATCTAAGTAGTGAATTTTTAGATTCCTTAAAAGAGAATAAGATTCTCTATCAATGGACTCCACTCGGAGTACCATAACCGAATGGTGTGTCCGAAAAAAGGAATAGGATGCTAAGACATGGTCTAGTTCATAATGAGTCAAACTGATATTCCATTTCATTTTGGAATATGCACTCCTTAATGCAATCTTTATTTTGAATAGGGTTCTAATAAAATCGTTGATCGGACTCCATATCGGATATGGAAAGAAAAGAATGCAAATTTATCTTTTCTTAAGATTTAGGACTCGTGAAGTATATGTCAAATGTTTGGATGAAGACATGCTTCACGAAGTGAAAATTTATGGGATATCTAAAAGATACAAATGGATATTAATTTTCCTACCACTAGAAAAAAGTATTGTTCATGATTTTGCATGCTATACTCTTTGGGAAGGAATTTGTATATACTAGAAACATTGGGAGGAAAGTTGAACTCAACAAGATTTGAGTAGACTCATAAATTGGCACTTAACTAGTAAAACCCTAATTACATAGGTTACAAAGCATTGTAACTATCCCATCAATAGATACACAAGAACTTCATAGGTCTAAACGAGTTCATCAAGAGTCAAAAAGATATGATCTTCTTATCTTGACACATGGTGATATGTATCCTAAAAAGGATGACAAATATAATACCTATGAAGAGGTAGTGTTATACATTGACTCCTAGATATGAAAAATGGATGACAAAACCATTTTTCTTATAGAAAATTGAATAAGGATGTGTAGATGACACACCCTAAGGGTTCCGTTAATAAAGAACATGCAAATAAGATTTATAATTTATAGAAATATGCTTATGGAATTAAGCAACATCGAGGAATTGGAGTCGGTGTTTTGATGAAATGATCAAATGGTTTGACTACTCATAAAATAAAGATGAACCTTATGTGTATAAAAAATTAGTGGGAGCCTCGTTTTCTTTATTATTCTATGTGAAGATAATAAACTACTTCTCGACTATAACATTATCATGTTGTAATTTATAAATGATTGGGTATTTAAGAATTTCATCATGTATGACATGGAAGAGCGACCTACATTCTAGAAGTGGAGATTTATAAAGATAAATCACATAGAATGTGAGAGCTCTTCCAAGACAGATACATTGAAATGATACTAAATGGTTTAGCATGGAAGAATCAAAGAAAAGATTTCTTCAAATGTCACATGGCTTGATGACCAACTACAAAAGATCCATAATGTAAGCTAAGGAACCAAAGTCTCATTAACGATCCAAGCATATACTACGATGCAACCACTCGATTGGAGAGATTATTAGTCATGATGATATATGGATAGAAAAGATCCACACTAATGATAACATAGCTGATCCATTGACTAAGCCTCTATCATAACCGAAACATAAGATCCTTGTTCGATCATCGGGCATAAAGGACATGGCGAGTTGGCTCTAGTACAAATGGAAGATTATTAGTGTAAGTGCCCAAGATCTAACTTTATTTGGATGGTTTGATTTATTGTAATGTAGTATTTTTATATGTTAATAAAATAAGTATTTCTATTAATTCTTGTCGTTTATAATTTGATAGAATTAAATAGAAGTCCATATAATATGTATTACATTAATAATTAATTAATTGATATAAGACGAACATTGATGCATTTAAATGATATATATACAATCAATAATGCCCATTTTTTTGTGGATTATTGTGTGTAAAATATTTTGTAGATTTTCATGATTTGACAATACTTTTAACAAATGAACTAAGGTTAAAGGTTGACCATCAAATATTTTATAATGACTTCAATTTTTTTGTAAAATATTTTACAAGAAAAAAACATAGAAAAAAAATATTTTTTGGAAAATATTTTATGCAAAACAAAAGACAACTAAGTTTCAAAACAAATCAATTTACACAATTGATTGAAAAATTGACTTTAGAAAAATTAACTCTTGCTTTGTCATGCAAAAATAAAATAAAATAAAAAATAAAAAAATATCAATATCTTCAAATTGAAGGGAAGTAATTGTTATATTATGTTAGTAGTAGTGATATTATTATGATGGTCATGTTTGTAATGGTGATGGTAAGGATTAAAATTATCGCGCATCTTGATACTAAAGCAAGTTGGTCGGATCAATCCAAATTTGAAAAAACAAAAAGTTATATAATTGATCCTTCTATTAACATGATGCCGACTTATTACCCCTCTATCTACCTCTATTTGGAAAACAATTAGGTTGATTAAATGACTTCGATTGACCTAACGATAACTAAAATAGATAATATGTGTCACATGATACTATTGATTAAAATTCTAAATATTTTTTTTCAAAATTTTGAAAAATAAAGGTGATTAATATTAGTATGATGTTCCGAAATATTTTATAGTTGACTAGAAAGCTATTATTTATTTTATTGAAAGCTTAATTACATCCAACATTTTTCTATTCGAGTTTGAGAAATTTTATAATACACAAGGAATAACTAGTAATATGTACGGTAGTTACTCTATGGATTTACTTTAAGGAGAGAGATAAAGATATTAAATTACATTCGGATCCACCAAAAGTGATAAGAAGATTTTTACATTCGTTCAATTTTTTTAAATTTATTCCATAGATTCATTTTAAGAAAAGAGATAAACACATTAAATTATATTCGAATCCACCAAAAGTGATAACATGATTTTCATGTTCGTTCAATTTTTAAAATTTTCTCTCTCCTGTTTCTCTTTTCTTTTTTGTGTCTATCTCTCTCCTTAAAGTGAGTCCATGGATTAACTACCGTACATGCCACTAGTTACTTCTTGATGTATTATAAAATTTTTCTTTTAAGTTTGATTAATTAAGTGTCTCTACTTTTAATATGAAATCCTTAACGTAGAACCCCCATTCCATGGGATCTTTAATGTTGAGATGCTCTCGTATTGATTGCATGACACATGCTCACTTAGTATTGACAGAATAATAGAAGAAAAACCCTTAAAAATAAAATAAAAAAGGAAGAGGAGTAACATGGGATTTTCACATGTTTTTCGTTGTTTATATTTTCATATAATTTGTAAAATTAAAGAAAAATTATTAAACTATTAGTATTTTTTTTCTTTCATATATGTGAAACTGTTGACGAGGTTATGGATTGAGGTCCTAAATATCAATACAAGGTACTGTACAATATTATTAGTATAGGTACCCAATTAATCAAAACTCTGATTATTGTTTTGTTTTTTTAGGACGCACATGGATACATGCATAAATAAAATGAAAGTCAGTACCGCCCATTTGCATATGTAGATTTTTATATTATTATTATTATTATGCAAATAAATCTAAACATTAAAATCCTCCTCCTCTCTCTATCTGTACTTTCTCCATTTCTGCTTAACACACTCAGAATCAGTTGCTCGCACCACAGCTACTCCTACACATGACACAAACCGAAACTAACTTAGCAGCTTCTTGCTAATGGCTGATTATTATTGTCTAAATCAACTATGAAAATCACCGGAAAACCACATTCTACGGCCAAATCAGAATTATTAGATCTTAAGCCTCGAAGAAAAACCCGGAATCCGAGCCTGATCCGATTGAAGAGGCCACCCGAGACACCTTTGTTGAAATGGAAGATCCAAGAAGATAGACATAATAATAATAATAATAGGAATGTAGGCGTTGAAGAGGAGGAGGATGGTGGTCGACCCCGCAGTTGCAGCTGGAGAGGTCGGGTCTCGGCGAGGAAGCTTGCTGCTGGATTATGGCGGTTGCAGCTGCCCGGTTCTGTCCTTGAACAAAGAAGGAGAGACCAGTTAGGGTTTCAGGTTACTATCTTCTTTGCTATTTCTTTGTTTTTTTTTCTTTTAGAAAGATCTAATGTCATAAAATGTGAGTAATAATTGAATTTCAAATTTTGGGATTTTTTGAAGATTCACACGATGAATAGTTTTGCTGTTGCTACTGTTTTAGTATTGGTAATAATAATCATTATATTAAATTGACAAATTTGATTGAGATTTTTTGCTATCTAAATCAATTCGGTTGCAAAGCTCTACCTTTTTTCTCTTTTTTATCCTCATAGCATAGCACTGTATTTTATATTTTACTGGATGTTTTTGAATGACTTTTTATTCAAACTATACCTGTTTAGGAACCTTAGCTGTTCAATGCCTTTTGGAATTCAAAGTGTGGTTATGCTTTATAGATCTGATAGGGTTTACGGCTTCTGTATATTCCAATCCGTCATCTCCTTGATTCCCATTTGAATGACTCCCAAAATTTTTGATTGTTGATACTGTTGTTTATTTCGATATTGGTGAATCTTGGTGGACAAAGCCATTTTGAATTTGACTTATTAATAAAATCTTTGAGATATTTTGAGTTTGTCTTTCCTGCTTGTCTGTGTAGCCTGGTATAGGCCATGTAGGTATCTCAGTTGTACGTCATCACCATGGAAAAGTTTATGTTTCTGAAGCAGCAAAGGATCCTCTGGAGAGTCCTAGTTCTACCTCTGGTGCAAGGAACAGATTCTTGTGCAAGGTATTCAGGCTCCTGAAAATTTATTAACTATATTTTCAACTGTTAATGACTGTTTGATGCTGACAATATTAAGCGATGATCATATATTAACTTTTAGAAGACTCTTCCAGTTGTCATTGGCTAACCTAGCATGCGTCTATAATTATGAGACTGGCTCATTTAGGTAATTTCTTTTCAAAGGATTGACGTCATGGAATTCCCGTAATATTCTAAAAGTTGCTTGCTCTGTTAAGAATGTGAATATATGTTCCCACTGGAATAGGAAGTTAATGCAGTGTTTAGTTTTGCAATTTTCTCCACAAGGAATTAAATGTGCCGCTTACTGTATATGAGTACTTATACATTCCAATAAGCAAGCATTTATATGGAAGAGATAAGTATTACTAAAACCTAGATAATTTTTTTTTTTATAAAAAAAAATGGCCTCAATTTACCAATTAAATTTAGCATTACAATCAACATGATCAATATTGTTCAGAATTAAAAATGGATTATCATCAATGACCTAGTTTCAAAGTGAAAAAATGAAAATTTTATGAGAGAAACTGAGAAAGGCAGCAAAGGAGAAATCCATGATAGTACATCACGTTTGTTAGGCTGCCATATTGCTTGATGTTTTAATTTAATTGAATGATAGGTTACATGGTTTTTTTAACCATGGCAAATGCCTTGTTTTAAATATTGGTAGTTCAAATGTGGCAATTTATTAAGCATACAGGAGCTTTGTAAAGTAGCTCAGCCTGCTTTTGTATCTAATGACAAAAAGTTTTGAAGCATGTTTGTTAGCTTAGGATAAGCCTTCAGCTACTAACAGTTCTTTTTTGAAACCCTGGAAGCATGGTGTAGATTGCATGCCCCTTTTTTTCACTTTTCGTAATTATATTTTTGTGGTTATGGGTCTGCATGTACTTTTTATGCTTATTTGTCTATTTTCGAACATGCTCTTGCCTATGTAGCTTGAGCCTTCATTTCAGTTTTCCAACTCTGCTATGGAGGGCGCAACTAAGTGGGACCCCATATGCTTCGGAAGATCAGATGAGGTACGCCAATCCTATAGCCACTTGAAGTGTCTTGATCAACAAGTGAGTGCTGTCTCTGCGGTTTCTGCACTTGAAGCTGAACTAGGGCAGGCTCGAGCACGCATTCAGGAGCTTGAGACTGAGCGTCGATCTTCAAAAAGAAAGTGGAGCACTTCTTGAAGAAAGTAAGCGAGGAAAGGGCTGCATGGAGGAGTAGAGAGCACGAGAAAATTCGTGCATTTATAGACGACATTAAAGCTGACTTGACTCGTGAAAGGAAAAATCGTCAAAGGTTGGAAATTGTAAATTCCAAGCTGGTTAATGATCTAGCTGATGCAAAAGTATCAGCAAAGCGATATATGCAGGACTATGAAAAGGAAAGAAAGGCAAGAGAATTGATCGAGGAAGTATGCGACGAGCTTGCTAAGGAAATTGGTGAAGACAAGGCTGAAGTTGAAGCATTAAAGAGAGAGTCCATGAAACTCAGAGAGGAAGTTGATGAGGAAAGGAAGATGTTGCAGATGGCTGAGGTCTGGCGTGAAGAACGTGTTCAAATGAAGCTAGTTGATGCAAAGGTGGCACTCGAAGAAAAGTATTCCCACATGAACAATCTCATTGCTGATTTAGAAACTTTTCTAAGGTTAAGAAGTGCAGCCCAAGGATTGAAGGGGATGAAAGAAGCTGAATCTCTCGTACAAGCTGCTGCCTCAGTGCACATTCAGGATGTAAAGGAATTCACATATGAGCCCCCTAACCCAGATGATATCTTTTCTATTTTTGAAGATGTCAACTTTGGCGAAATCAATGATAGGGAGATTGAAACATGCATTGCTTACAGTCCTGCCAGCCATGGAGCAAAAATTTACACACTGAGCCCTGAAGTCGATGTGATTAACAAGGATGACAGCCATGGACATTCCAAAGCCTTTGTTCATCAGGATGGTGATATAGAGGAAGATGAGAGCGGGTGGGAAACTGTGAGTCATCTTGAAGATCAGGGCTCGAGTTACTCACCAGATGGCAGCATCCTATCAGTCAACAAGAATTGCCGGCAAAGTAATGTCTCAGGGAGTGCAACTGAATGGGAAGAAAATGCATGTGATGAAACCCCAATTGCTGATATCAGTGAACTGTGCTCTGTGCCAACAAGACAGTTGAAGGTGTCATCTACTGCTAGGTTTTGGAGATCATGTCCAAACAATGGGGATAGCTACAAAATAATCTCAGTGGATGGGTTCAATGGTAGGCTTTCAAATGGAAGAAAATCTAATCCTGGCATGATATCTCCAGATCAGGTGTCGGGTAACAGTGGACTCAGCCCCCCAGATTTGGCAGGGCAGTGGAGTTCACCTGACTCGGCGAATCCTCACATAAGTCGTGGAATGAAAGGGTGCATTGATTGGCCTCGAGGACAGAAGAACAGTTTGAAGGCAAAGCTCTTAGAGGCAAGGATGGAAAGTCAGAGAGTCCAACTGCGCCATGTACTCAAACAGAAGATTTAGATCCAGGCAGTACAAGCCTTGTTTATGAATTTTGCTCATAAACATAACCCTTTTTCAGCCAGCTGTAAATGCTCAAATGAGAAAATGCATCATTGGCTTTCTTGGACTAAGACCCGCTCAGGCAAATATCTACTAGCGTCCTGCTCCTGACTCTCCGGGATGTCTCTGAAATAGCATCTCAACAAATGTTATTCTAAACTTATGTTGCTGCTGGTTATTAGCAAAATACTTGTAGCTTTAGGCATTAAAATTGGAAAACCATTGTACTTACCGGCAGTCATGGGGAAAAGCTTATTATGGCTTCAGACGTTAATGAAAGTAGGCTAATTGCTTCTATAATACCTTGAGCTTTTGGTCAAACGAAAAGGATCTTTAATTTTTAATTTTTTTGATTTAGGTCCTGAATTTATTTATTTATTTTTTTATTTCAATCTGTTGATCAATCTCTAATAGTATTAAGACCATCTAGACTAAAAATCAAATTATAAAACAATTCTAGAGCCAAATTAAAAAAAAAGAAAATACTCTCCTTATTAGTGGTGAACAAACGGTTTGGTTAATCAAAACTCGAATAAAAGCTGAACCGAATTATGAAATTTGGTTCGGTTTTAAATGTAAAATTATACAATATATAACCGAATCGAAAAAACCGAAATTATTTTGATTCGGTTTGGTTTTTAGAAAAAAATTTCGATTTCGATCGAAAATCAAAATAAATAGTAAAAAAATTTTTAATTTCTAAATCCCTAACTTTTCAATCTTCATTCTTGCTAAAACTGAAACACGCAATCATGACTCTCCGGTTCTCCTTTCTTCCACTTTTCCTTAACCTCCTTTGGCTTCATTCTTTTGTTCTCCAATCTCTAGTCTTCGGTCTCCGGTTCTCCTTTAGTTCTTATGTCCCTCATTCCCTCCAAGCTCCTCTATTGATGGAGAATTCAATAGTAGTTTTGATTCGATCTACTTGACGTCGTCTAAGGAACTTCTCTACTTCTTCTATTGCAAAAACCAAATGACTCGAGTCGAACTTGACTCAACAACAAACCCAACGATATCCACGGTGGCTTTGCCAACTTCTACGGATGGCACGGATGCGTTGGTGGAGGAGATGTTGAAGTTGCGAGGGATGTAGGGACCATCGAGAGTTTTGTTTGCTATTAAGGAAGAGGATGGGGAGGAGCTGGAGGTAGCCGAGAACGACGCATTGTCTATAGAGAACGAGCTTGTTAAAAGTAAGAAGAGAAAAATGAGCAACGGTGATGTTTGTTTTGAAAAGGTAGGCTGTTGCTAATGATGCGGTTGTCGATGTTGAGGTTGACGGTGTAACGACGCCGTTACGGACACAATATGCATCTCCTCGGTATTATTATATTCCTTCACCTTCTCCTTCTCGTGATGGAAATCGATCACGCAAGAATTCAAAGAGCGAAAATAAAGACAATGTCGTTTTAGGTGATTCTAGTGAGAATACGATGTCCTTTGTTTCTATAGAAATTCATAGTTAGTATTTTGAACCATAAAAAAAAATGAAGAAAATGTTATCGGTCGGTTGTTGGAGTAATTAATATAAAATAGTTTTTGTCGGTGATTCGTTACAACGACTCTTTTTATTTATGTGTATTTTATTCTTGAGATGTAACAAATGCTTCGATCTTGCCATGTTAGTAGAAAGCAAATAAAATGGGAAGGCAATATGATGTGGCAAGATCGGAGAGGATGCTAGACAACATTGTTGTTACTTGCACTTTCTACTTGGACGGTGAGATGAAGGAGGCGAGAGATGTTGGTGAATTTAGTACTCGTTTAATTTTTGTGGTACTAAATGCCTAAATGGGTCAGTAAAGCAAAAGATGGGAAGTAAATTTTGAAGACCATTGTGGTAAGAAAAGAAAGTGACGAGTGTAATTAATTGGGATACGAGTGTGTTTGAATGACAAAATCAATTACACTTGGACTGGTTTTCATTAAAGCCTGGTTAAAATCTTCAAAGGCTTTGTGATTGTCTATAAAAAGGATTAATTGATAACAAGATGTTACTTCATTGGCTAGTGGACTAAGTGCTAGTACAAAACATCTCTCCGTAATGATTTTTTTTACGGCGAAATATTTCAAAACCAAACCGAAATAATTCGGTTACAAACCGAATTTATCAAATTTATTTTGGTTCGGTTTTGGTTTTTATTTTTCTTAATTCGATTAACCGAAAACCGAACCGAATCATACAAAATCGAACCGTTTAACCGAATGATCACCCCTACTCCTTATTCCCTTCATCTTCCTCTCCAGAACTTTACTTTCCATTTCATGCATCATCTCAGTCTCATTTCTCAAAGAAACACTCCTCCATGTCAAGAAAACCACACTAAAACTCCATACCCAATTTAAGAAACCAACAAAATTCTCGCAAATTAAGCCTATTCAATATCAAGACCAAAGCAATGCCAACTTCATCCATGACTGGTAACTCGGCCAAGAATTCAAAAGAATTCAACTTCAAATGCATACAAAATCTTGGAAAACATTGGCGGTGATGCTAAATTTATATGCACTGATTCTTTGTTTTTTTTTTTTTTTTTAATTAAATTCTTTGGTGGCAATGGCTTAATCTTGAAAAAGATTTTGGGTTCTAGTAAATTAGCCTTAAAAGCCTTTGGTTTTTTCCTGTGGTCTATTTGCTTTCACACGCTTTAAAACACCGATCCGTCCTTCTATAGAAGCAGTGAATGAATGCTTGCTGTACTTTGTAATTGCAATATTTACTCCAATTTTCCCACTTCTGCATACTCCGGGTTTTTTTTTCTTTTTCTTTTCATCAATACATTTTCTGGCGTTAATTTACACCCTTCTTCTACCAATAATTCAATTCAATTCTCCCTCTCTCTCTCTCTACGCAATCGAACTTTCCCCCATAATTAAGGTGCTTGTGGCTTCATATCTGGGTTTTTAGTGTTAACTATTAGAATAACTTGCCTCATGTTTTGGGTTTCTTGTACCTCATATTTGATATATAATTCATCTGAGTGTACTCGGTTACCAATAAAAAAATGGAGAGACGAATAAGATATTTTATCAAATACTTGGTGGCTGATTTATAAAACAAACACCAAAATAAACAAGAAAGGAACAGGTTTGTTTGGGTTCTATTTTGGACAACTTTTTTACACAGTACCACAAACAAAATGGATTAGAGATGAAGGAGAGGAAGCAAGGAAATGTTTCATAAGTTCGTTTTATTTGGTGTGCAAATGGTGGCAATTTTAGGATAAAAAGTGAGAGGAATTGCGCCCGGGGGGGGTGGGGGGAGAATGGATTCTCATTATTTAATTTGAGTTTAGTTTTTTTTAGTTATTTTACTTTACGTGCATCTCACATTTGGCAGAGGTTGGTCAACGAGAAGAGAAGAAAGGACTTAATGACTCATTAAAAAAAAAAAAAAATATATATATATATATTCGAATCTAAAAAAAATAACTAAAGGTCGTAGAACTTTCTTCATTTGACAAAAAGTTCTTGATATTATAAAACCAATTAGAAAAAAAAAAAAACCACTATTTATGCTGGTCATCGAGCTTTTTATTTGTTTTTTCTAGTGGTAGTGTTCTTGAGAAGTAAATTATAAAATGAGTCCTAGTTTTGAAAAATAAATTAATTAGTCCTTTTTTTTAATATTTAGTTCAATATTTTTAAATTTTATGAAAACTTAATCCTTTTAATTCTTTTTCAATTTATTTTGATTTTTTTTCTATGAAATATAGAAAACCAAAATAAGTAAAAAATATGGAAGGACGGGTGAAACAAGAAATTTTTTTTTTTGAAATTAAAGTAATATTAACATTACAAAAAACAAAGGGCTTAGTGACGAAAATTCTATAGCTAGACCAATATTTGTCGTTGCTATTTTGCTTTAGCGACGAAAATAATATTGTCCGTAAAATGCATGTTGCTAATTTTTTAAGCGTTAGAAAAAAAATTATCACTAATTAGCCATAAAAATTTTGTCACTATATTAAAGTATTTTCGTCGCTAATTCGATGCAAACAATCATTTTATAATTATGAAATCTTTTGCAAAACCGCCAATAAGTTGTTTGATTTCCATCATTATATATTGCAATGGAAATCCATTGCAAAATTTTATCGCTAAAAGTGGTTGTTAAACTATAGCTTGGTGTCACCAAATTGCCGATGCATTTTATTATCCGTCTCTAATTTCCATCGCTAGTGAATTAATTTATTATTTATTTTCTATTGTTACTCGATTGTTGATCCATCGCTAATACGAGAATTTTTTTTAATTCATTAATAGTGGTTTAATGTTTAATTATAGTAACAAACAACTTAAAATAAAATTATAACACAAAATATTATTGAATAAAATTATAAAAATTTGATGTATTCGATATTTTTATATATTTTGCTTCTCGTTAGTTAGAATTTTTAGGTTCCTTTGCTTTGGTTGGGGAGGTTTTGATTGTCATTAGCTTTTAATGTTTTGTTGTTTGTTATTGTTGTTACGGATGGTATGTTGCTTCTAATGTCTTAGCCTTTTGTTATTTTTTTTTTTTTGGGATTTATTTTATATTTGCTTGCCGAATGGTTTATGTTTTTTTGTTAATGTATTTTTTCATACCTTTTAATTTTGGATTCTACTCGGTCTTTTTTTTTTCTTCTCCTTCTTTCATAAGTTTTTTTTAAAAAAAAACATCACTTCGATTCTCAATTGTTGATTTTTTTTTATTGTTTTTTAGTTTTGGTATTTGTTTTATATCTCTACTTACACCTTGGCTATTACCTTTTTTTGCTTACATGTGTCTTGCTAATTGCTTTGGATTATTTGTGAATGTTATTCACAACACCCCACTAACCAACAATGTTATTCCGAGTCCTCGAGATATAAAAGTTTTAAAATTAAAATTTAGAAAAATTTAGATAATTTTATAAAATGACCAAAATATAGATTTATAATTATGATTAAAATGAAATGTGTTTCATTAATATACCATGTATCAATGTGATTGAAGCATAGGTGAACGGTATGGATGATTTAACCTAGTTTATAGGAATGAATGTTTGTAATTTTTTGGATAAATAGGACATGCATGTCTTCCCTTCTCATCATTCTATTGTAATTCTCTTCTCATCCTACTAGCCTCGAATGTAACTAGAGTTTACTATTTAAATAAATGTAAAAATAGACGATAGGAATTAGAATAGATGCGAGGAGAAGAAGCCGAAGTGAAGACAATCTCAAAGAATTTGTAATAATTTCTCACCTAAGTATTTGACTAATTAGTCTCCTTGTGGCTCGAGGGAGCTAGTATTAGAGATCCATTACCATTCATCGGTCCTTGAGTCATGCATGATATCTATGTTTTTATGTTACGATGTTTAGTATGTATGATAGGATTAATATGATTGATGACTAATATGTATATTAGGATGAGACTTATCATATTAAATCCTTCAAATTAAATATCAAGTTTATTGCCTTCCAACGTTATGAGGAGAGAACTCTCTTAGTCGTTGTTGCCTTATTGAGATAACTCAAGGTCACTTCTTCCTCGAGGGAATCAAATCATCGGTCATGCGATGTTTCTAAACGTTTGGATCTAACTTGAAATGAGTTATTGGGTTTGTTAAGATAACTCAAATAAACTTATAAACAAAGATTAGTATTCATATAAGATGTGAGATGACAAGGAATTATCATATCAATGAGATCGAAATTGAATTGGATGCAATTATTAAGGTATTCTCTACCTAATCCTTCATGTATGACTTGTAGAGATAACTCAACGTTAATGCATACAATTGATAAGGTGTTACCTACCTAATCCTTCATATATGACTTGTTGAGATAACTCAAGGTTAATGCATGTTAGAAATAGGATCCTAACCCACTAAGGAAAACAAATCAAAAAGTTTTCTCGAGTTCTATATGGAAGATTATAGAACTTAAAAAAAATAGTGGAAGCAAACATAGATTTTAGTTCTTTAATTTATGCTTCTTTTTATTTGTGTAATTTAATTAATCAAATCGTATATTTTTCCATCCTGTCAGATTGTACAAGTATGACTAGCAACATATCGATACGATCGATCATTGATGAAAGTAATGCCTTCAATGACATGAACTTCCTCGACTAGAAAATAAATTTGAGGATAGACTTCCAACATGAGAAAATTCTCTATACGATAGAAAACCTCTCATAGGTTGAGCCTCCTTCGGATCAAGTTGAAGCTTATACGATATGGCCATAGCATAAAGATGATGTGATCATCGCTCAAAGCATCATGCTAGCTTCTATGACGTTGAAGCATAAGCATCAACATAAAGACACAAGCGTCTTTGATATCATAGCAAAGATTAAAAGCTTGTTTGACGAAAATACTAGGCATAAGTGCTATAAGATAGCAAGAAAGCTTTTAGAGCTAGAATGAATGAGGTATTCAATGTTAAAAAACATGTCACCGAGATGATAGGCTATTTGAAAGGCTAACCGAGC